GAGATATACAACTAACCAGAAGGGTGCAGTGGTGAGAGGGGGGGGGCTGGTTCATTCTATGCGAAGGAGCATGATCGTGCCATAAATGATACGCAGATGCCTTATAGACGTCAGACGGGCACAGCTCTACGAATGGAGACGAGAAAATTCTCCTCCTGTTTGTACGATTAAACGACCACAATACTATTTGAAAAAAGTAGTTAAGGAAGAGAGGTGGTAAAAGAACCAGCTTGTTCGCACTGTATAAACTTCACCATAAGAGAGAACAGCAAACTACAATCAAACAAGCTTTTGTTACACTTTTTTCGTTTTACTTATTGTGTTTTACTTTACACTTTACTTTGTCTAAGATACCCCGCTCTGACTTGACATCTTTAGAAATGAAACTAATGAAAAAATCAGAGTGGAATTATTTTCAAGCAACTTACATCCTGTCTGAACAGACACGCCGAACACTGTAGCAGGGCGCCCATCAACTTGTGAGGATTCCATGTGACACTGTTGGCTCGCTCGATGCCAGCGAGTTTGTAACGATGCTCCGGTGACAGCAACAATCCGCCACCCCATGCGGCCTGAACCAGTACTGTCAGACACAGCCAGTTGTGAGATCGGGGAACAGCATCGGGATGAGTGAAAGGACGCTGTCAGTATGACCCCACAAGATTTCCTCTTTCAGTACCAACCCCTCCCCCACCAGGATTTTCTCGTCCAGTACTACCCTGCAACATTGGCGACCCCCCCCCTTTTCCATAATGCCTGCTATCGTGCCAAATTCTTCCAACTCTTTTTCAATTTATCGAAGTTTTCACCAGTCTGCCCCAGATAAACTAGCATTAAGGGCGAGGGGGGGAGGGGAAGTCTTCCACAATCAACTTCTCAGGATCAGGTTCCAGCAATGTCGGTGTTTCACTTTGAATTCACCCTTTTTCAAACCAAATTCACCCTTTTTCAAACCAAATTCACCCCTTTTCAAACCAAATTCACCCTCACTTTTCACATCAAATTAACCACACTTATTAGGGCGGGCAAC